GAGGACGGCCCAGCTACTGGAACCACCTAGTTGGCTTCTTCCCTGCATGGCTGGTCACTCAATTGGGATGGATCTGGTAGGTTCATGTGTCTGGAGTCTCAGTTCTTGATGATAACTGGGTCCCTTCTTTTCCCCAATATCATCTCTCTATAGCAGTGGTTCTCAACCTTGGCTGCACATTAGAATCACCTGGGAATCTTTTTAAAACCCTGATTTCTGGGCCTCGTCCTCTGGAAATTCTGTTTCTTTGTTACTAATGTTGTGGCCCCATCCCATAGGAAAGAAACAGAATTTCCGGAGGATGAGGCCCAGAAATCAGGATTTTAAAAAGATTCCCAGGTGATTCTACTGTGCATCCAAGGTTGAGAACCACTGCTCTATAGCAAGGTCAAAGAGGGGGTCGGGGGAGCAGCTCAGAATTGCCAAGAGCTCATCATCAAGATTGCCAGGTGCTCTTAAAGCTCAGGTCTGTAACCGGCACATGGTCACCTCTGCCACCCTCTTCTGTTGGTTGAGACAGAGGTCGTCCGGATTCCAAGGTCAGGGACCACACAGGTCATACTGCCGGGGAGCATGTTTCATAGGGGGGCCATCAACATAATAAACGGACAAGAAGGGGCCTACAGGCAGACTTGCGCTGGCCGAGGGTGCTTCTCTCCCTGATTTTATGCTGCCCCCTCTTCGGGATGATTGGAGGGCAAATAATGGGAGATAAGATAACCCCAATCTTCCTCCACCGAAGGGGGTCTGATCTGCTACTGGATCAGCCTGAATCAAAGGTGTGTGCACTCGTTCCGTCTAGGAAGCGTTGACTGAGCACAGCCTATGCGCTGGGCTCCTAACACACGTGTTATTTCGCTATCCCTGTTACAGAGGAGCAAGCGGAGGCTCCAAGGCAGCACCTCGCTTCGCACCGGGCGCGACGCAGCCTCCTGAGGCCTTTCTACTCCGCAGTGAGAGCGGGACGGAGCTAGGCCTGCCCCCTGGACTCCCCGAGAGTCG